AGAGGAAGTGCGTGGCAGCCAATACGAAGGTGTTTACTTTCTGGTGGTCCCTCGTCGTAGACAAGTATGACCCTAAAACAAAATAAAACACTCCCTTTTTATTAGCATTTACTCTATGTCTGACGACGCGTCGCGCTCGTTATTCAAGCCCACAGGATAGATACTACTCTGCCCGTTTCACAGGCGAGGAGACTAAGGATCAGAAAGGTTAAGTGACTTGCCCAAAGGCACTCTGCTACTATGTGGCAGAGCGGAAAGTTCGAGCCCAGTCTAACTCCTTAGCTTGAGCTCCTAAAACCTGAGCAGCAGCGCCGGACCGGTTCCACTGAAGCCCCAGGGCGGTAACAGGACACGCGTGGGCTCGTTAGCGTTTCCCCATCTCGCGGGTTAGGCAAGGCAGGCATCAGGAGTGAGGAAAACGGGGCCCGAGGAGGCTGAGGGACTCGAACAAGGTCACACAGAGAATTTCTGTCCAGGTTGAGAGCGGACCCCCCAAATCCCTGGGGATCACTGTGGGCGCCTGAGCCGCAGAGTAGACCAGCACCGAGTCGGCGGTGGCCAGTCCGCTGAGGTCAGGCCTGCGAGCAGGTCTGCAGGCCCCAGGGCGCCGGCCGCGGAGCTAAGACCAAAGTCAGGCCGCCACATCTGCCCAGCCTTCCGCCAAGGGCCTTACCGGGTCGCCAGAATTTCACCGGTCCCACGGGCGCAGCCATGCTGGGGTGAAAGGTCACGGAGAAAGCTCCACCCCTCTGTCGCACGCGGGCCCCCAAAGGAGCTAGGGGGCGCGGCCGGCGACGACTCTAGGCCCGGTGTTTCGCGCGGCATTACGGCCACGCCCCCGTGGCCACCGCCCCCTCTGCTTCACGTGACCTACTGCTCTTCTTTAGCGAGCGTTCCGGCCCCGCCCTCAGGTCCACGTGACCTCCCAGCCACACCGGAGGCAGGGGCGCATTTTTCATCTCTCTTTTGGAGGGAGCAGGTCTCGGTTCCAAGTTCTTTCGTAGGAATGTAGTGTGGCTTCCATGGTGGCCGCACACTCCAGGATGGGCGAGCCTTGGGAAAGGACTGCTGGCACGCGGTGGGCACGGAGGCAGTGCATTTCAAGTTAATTGCTGAATGCTGATTATGTTACAAGCTATCTTAGCTTTACTCTATTCTCCATACTTTCAAATTGGGGTATAATAATAGTAACTATCTTGTGAGTTTGCCGATTCAGTAAACTGGCAGTGAATAGTAAGTAAATGTTCGATTCGATATACGGTAGTATTTATTACGATCGGTAAATAAAACAATAGTAAATGGTATGGAAGTCTTCAGGAGCCTTGAGAGTAAAGCTGAAAAACAGGGAAAAATGAGTTGAAATAAGAGACTTAGAAATGGGTAGATCAGTTAGGCTAGGACACTAACCCAGTGTTTCCTCCATTGTGGCTGCTCATATGATTAAATACTTGTTAAAAATACAGATACTAGGCCCCAGTCCAATCTTGCATCAGAATCTCCGGGGGCATGGCTTGGGAACCTGCATTTTAAGAAAATTTACAGATGATTCTTTTGATTAACAAGCTTGAGAAAGTTTCCACTAATCCAGAGGAGAGCTAATAATCTCAAGTAGGGGAACTATTTTATGGATATGCAACTAATTGGAATGGAAGGAAGTGAGAGCCTTCAGAATCTATGCATTTTTAGAGCTGTGAAGAAAATTTGCATTCTTTGAGAGAAATGACAGTCATGGAAAGATAAGGGTTTTTAGAAACAAACATGATTTGGAATCCTAACTGCTATTTCCTAGCTGTCATCTAATATTTTAAAAGGCTGTATAAAAAAACATGTAAAATGCCTAACAATGTAAGGCATAACAGGCATTCAATGAACGTTAGCTCTCCTTAACTCAAATAGAGCAAATCCACTAGGGGAAAAAAATCTAAATTTACATGCATGTATTCATTTTACAAATATTCTTTATTTCCATAATAATGAAAATAAAGTTCAATACATTATAATCCCTCCACCTAGAATTCTCCATCCATCCTTTAAATTATCTTCATAAGGGTCAGCTCTAAGAATTCTCTAAACTCACTATCTGGGTTAATAATAATGAAAATAGAGTTCAATACATTATAATCCCTCCACCTAGAATTCTCCATCCATCCTTTAAATTATCTTCTTAAGGGTCAGTTCTAAGAATTCTCTAAACTCACTATCTGGCTTAAGCATCCCCACCTCTGGAGACTCAGAATCTGTGTGCTCACTTTTGTGATAACATTTACTTAGTTGAACTGTAGTTAATCTCCCTCCACTATTATACTGGAAGCTTCTTGAGGACAAGGACCACGTCACATTCATGTTCCCAGCGCAATAACAAAGTGCCTGTTGAGTAATGTATATGTGAACTCTCCATGTTTTATACTTATTTTTAGTTTTCATAGCATTGATCCTTCCTTGTTTTATTTTTGTCTTATTTTCACTAAAGACCCAAGTATGGAAAACAGGGTTTATACATGAATACAAGGGAAAATTAAATAAGTACCACTTTTTATTATTTCTGTATTTTATACATTGCTCATGATTTATATTAAGAAGTCTTCCTATTTACAAAGAGACAGGAGATTAAAGCTGAAGAGACGTTAGTCAGTGTCTAGTCTAAATACTGTTAAAAAAAAAAAACCCAGGCCCATAGAGGTTAAAAGGACTTACTTGGTCAGAATCAATGAGCTAATTTTGCATCAGAACTGAAACTAGAAGTCAGGCTTTCTAATTCCCAGGCCAATATTTTTTCAACCACATGGACCATTTAAAGCCAATAGAGCTTAGCTCCCCTAGATCAGAATTAGTTTATCTGTCCTAAAAGTTCTCAAAGCCCAACTGTCCCTAACGGGTTGTTTTGCTTACAACATCTCTTGGAGAAAAGACCTAAGTAATAACCTAGATGTTGACGGTGTGGTTTTACTGTCAAAAATTAGAAATGGTCTCAGTAGACTATCTTATCCTTCCTAATTAACTATTTCCAGAAAGATGGCCTAAAATAACAACTCTAAAATTAAAACCGTTATTCCTTGAGAGGGCATCTAGAATTTATTTAGCTCATTGCCAATGATTCATTTTGATCATTTTGTTACATAGGATTACATTTTGCAACTTCTGAATAACATTTTCCAGAAAGATACTCCTCAAAAATCATGTTTCAATGGTACATGATAGTTTTTCTGTGCCTATGGTAGTTAACAGGTACTTTCTGCTCTGAAATATTTCCAGTCCAACCATCTTGGCCATGTTTGGGAGACACTAGGATTTAGGAGTTATCATCTTTGTACTAGTTAAGGCTTTTGTGTAACAAGTAATAGAAAATCCATCTCGCTCAAGCAAAAGGCTCATAAAGTCCAGGAGTAGTTCTGACTTGAGACACAGCTGCATCAGGACACATATGACATATTCAGGGCTCATTTCTGATCATATCATTTGGCCTTAGTCTACTGACCCAGGTGTCATGTGGCAACTAGATGACCATGTCAGCTCAGCCACCACAACCTCTCAGTTTCAAGCCTCTTTCCAGAAATCCATGGCAAAAGCATCTGGCTATGTATCCATCTCTGAATCAGACACGAGGGCCAGCGAATATGACGTACTGACTGGCTTACATTGAGATCATGCTGCACCCCAAGTCAGGTGTGGTCAGCTTTACCAGAATCACAGGGATTGAGAGTTGGTAACAAAATGATTCCTCAGGGGGAAATCTGAGGGTAAGAGTATCAGAGAGCAATGCATGAAGTAAAATTAACATGTCAATTACACCATCCATGTAGACAGGTGCTAAAACTCTTAGCTTCCTAAGAAAAATCCTAGCTGCCCTTAGGTCTATTCTTTCAAGCTAGATCAGAGAGAGCTGTCTCCTAGCCCGAAAAGAGGTTGTCCTTTGCAGAATTGCTTTTACTGTATTGTACTATATTGGTATTTTTCCATCGAGTCTAAGGTGCAGCAGCCCTCTGCAACTTTTAACATATGTAAACCTGTCTGGTTTATTGGCTTGCACACAAAGGATCAAGTTCACACATGCATTAGCATAAGCAAAAGTATTTAGCTCCAAGGATTGGAGTGCAGAGGTGTGGAGAGATCCACTAGGAAGGAGACTCAGCTACCAGGGGCATCTCTCACATTGGCCTGAAGAACGTGTACTTCTATGAAACTGGATGAGTTGGGGAGGGGCTCCTGAGGTCTGCCAGGTGCTCTCTAGATAGGATGACTGTATACTTTAACTGGGACCCTTTTGAGAGTGAAATGGAGTGTTCGCAGGCATAAATAGACCTAAGGGCATATTTCTAAGTGGCACCAAGGAACCTAACATAATAATGCTCATCCAAACATATTCAACCTAAGGTACAATATTCCATGCTCACACAATACATCTGAATACATCAAACTCATTGATAGGTTTGGACAACCACTTTTATGGAATTCAGTGTTTGGGCATACCAATTATCTGTCATTGTGTTTTTTATCAGAACACTTAACAGTATCATTTTAATAAGCAGATCCTTGTGCGAAATTCTTACCTGATCTTAGTACCAAGGATTGTTCTTCCTATACCTGGATTTACTTGCATCTCAGGAATGTTGTAAATGGTGGGTCTGGCCAGGTTCCTCTTTCTGCCTCAGCTACTTGGGAAGTTTAAAGTGTGGCCTACCCAAAGTAAATGTGTTGTCATTGTGGCATGCACTTGCAGGCTCATTGCTAACTCCATTTTATATTCCCACCCTTGAGTTTCTTTCCCATAACTTGTCATTTACATGATCTTATACTTTAAGTTTTCTTATCACTTTGAGTCTCATGTAAAACCCAGATACTCCCCCAAACGAACTGCCTGCAGAGGTGCAGGGCCATCTCTTCAGTTGACTCCTTAAGTTTTTCAAGAGAATGTTGACTCTGCAGTCTGATTTGGTTGACCTTGAAATTATATGGATCTCTAACTCAAACAGATCAGCAGGGAGGAAAAAAAATGAGACAACTGAATTTGAATATTGATTTTATTTGATGATAGACATTTTTATCAAAGTTGTTTAGTTATGATCATTGCAATGTGGTTGTTTTTTTTAAAGTGAGCTGTTATCTTTTAGATATATACTGAAATATTTATAGCCTCTTCTGTAATGGCCAAGGCTGACATTAGACAGATAAGGAAATTCTCTCCTAGGAAATAGCAACAAATATTTTTGAACTAAATGATCGCCACACCCACTCACCCCCTCCCCTGGGAATGGGACAATAATCTACATTTTACACAAGGATCCAGCTGACTCTGATGCAGGTGGTTCTCAGATCTCACCTTGAGAAACTCTGCCCTGTAGTGATACTCTCTAGATGAGTGCCAGAAAAGCTTTGCTTACTCTGAGAGACCAGGCCATTTTCTTAGGATTTTATACACCTCTTATTCTTATTTCTAATCGCCGACAATACTCTCAGAGAATAGATTTGAGTCCTGCTCCACAAAAAGAGGACTCTATGGTCAGGTAAGCTTGTGATAGGCCATACACCTGCCCTGCTCTGAGAGTCAGTGCGATCATTACTTCATTCAAAAGTCTGAGTAGTCCTGCAATAAAGAATCCTGTTTAAATTTATCTGATCCATTATTTCCCAAACTGAACACAGAACCTTTTTTATGAATGTCTATTAATAGTTCCATAGAACACGTTTGAGTTGAAATTTCAAGCATACCTACGTTTGTTCATGAGGTTAAATTTATGTGTTCAATTCACCATTGCATTAACTGCCATTTCTCAAGGTACACCCTCTAATGCCTCCATGCTCTCTATAAAGAAACAGTAATATAAAGGACTGTTGAACTTAGAATCTGGAAACCTGTGTTTAAATATTTTTATCACCATTTACCAGCCATGTGACCTTGACTATGCTACTTAACCTGAGGTTCAGTTTCTTCACCTTAAAATTGAGAATAACAGCTCTCCAACCACTATATTTTGTGAGGGTCATAGATAACATGGGAAATTATTTACATCTGTTAGTGGTTTTAAATAATGTTTCTCCAAGGCATAGGCCAGAGTTGTTCATGAGTGGACATGAACCAGTTGTCTGGTCTGCTTCACAGCCCAGATTATAGCACTAACCCAACAAATAACCTGGTGACCATAAGGGAGTCCCGGTGCACACATTAAAACCAGCAGGTGTGCTCAGGGGTCTGTGTGGCCAACACCACCCACCCCTATTACAGATCTCTTTTGCTCTAGCCAGATCAGAAGTAGGAAGCCATCATTTAACTCTCCTTTTGTCTGTCCATGCAAATGAGACTAGACAAAAACAGGATTCCACAGCCATAGCAACCCTGATTAGCAGGATGTAGAAACCAGCTGCATTGCCTGCCAATGGACTAGGCATCTGGGATAATTGTCAGTGTCCTCTTTGCCCCTATTCCAGGATATTAGATTGCGGAATCATTGTCAATACACCCATCTGATGAAATTAAGCCCATGGGGCCTCTAGAGTTAATATCAGGGATGAATCTAAGAATGTACAGTAAGGCCTTCTTTAACAAAGAGGCAGGGAACTTAGGTCCCTGTCTAAATAGCTCTAGCTTTTTCCTGGAAAAAAGACAAGTTAGAGGCTCATGCTCATGAAAAGGCCTACGATTTCTGTCTGGCAAGTTTCCTCATTAAAACTACAGAGATAGTAACATCAATATTCATGTTGCTAAGGAAGAGATGACCCTGACACCTGCTTCTTTTTGTCTTCTAACTTTTAAGGGAATATTTTCTCTTTTACAGTTTGGATCATCTACTTCTTCTCTACCCAACGCTATTTAAAAAATGCGTAAATAACTATTAAGTGCATTACTTATGGCACACCCCCAGAGTTAAAGAAAAAAGTGCCAGGAAGCAAAAAAAAAAAAAAAAAGATTCTTATGCAATCACCAGTTTTTAAAAATTTGTTTAGTTAATGCTAAGAATATTAAGAACACAATATCCTAAAGAAGAGACAATTAAGAAAGTTTATTCTAAACAAGATTTTGATCATAAAAACGAGTGATTCAAACCTCTAAAACAGAAGAGCAAACAAATCTAGAATGCAAAACATATTTTATCTCTTACTTGAATTAACCTGAGAACCCCTAAACATTCTCTTCAAGAGATATCAATATTAAAACTGTGCAAAGAAACTGTACCCATAGTGTTTAAACCATAAACCCAATACTTGGTTTACATATGACGAAAATAAAACAAAAGCATAAAATAACATACAGTTTATAGAATTCAAAGAAAATCATGTGACTAAAAATCAGGTGCAAGAAAAACAATTAGGGAGAGGAGACATTTTATAAAGCAGTATCCTCTGATGAGATGAGGTCTACCGCAAGCCTGGCTGAACCCAGAGGCTCTGAACGCTGACCAGTCACTGATAGGAGGGATAAAGTGTGATATCTCTAATAGCCAGCAAATTAACTGATGCTCTGCTGTAATTTCCAGAATTAAAGCCAGGATAGTTTTCAGTAAGAAATGTTCTCCTTGAGAGCATGGCCAGCATATGGTTGAGCCGGGACCTGATACCAGAAAAGTGCAACTGCCGCTCTTTATTCAAGTTTCTAAATGAGTCGAAGTGGGGGGTGCCCCAGTACTTGGAATGCCCGGGAAAGACGAGGTCAGTGGCTCTGATGGAAGTCTGGGAGCCGAAGGAGCTTGCCACAGAGCCCTGAGAAGACAGAGAGGAGGAGGACTTCAAGCTGGAAGATCTCGACACAGACATCTTTGATACTGGGGACCCTTCTTTAGACTGGATTCCCTGAGAAAAGAGAATATTCTCGTCCACGGCAGTCTGGGTGGTGGCGGACATGACTCGAACCGCAGTTTGGGAACTTGCTGCCCTGGTGGCGACTGTGGTCTGGGTCCCAGCACTGGCTGTGGCGGTGCTGGTTTGTGTTCCCGAGTCGCTCACGCACACGGCTAGCACCTCCTCTCCTGGCTCTGTCTGAGTTGCGGCATCGGTCGTCTTTCCATCCTCTGGTGTGTCCTTGTGGCTGTTGAAGTAGTCTTCCTCACTGATGGTGGAGGACTCGGAGTCGTGGCGCCTGGCCTCCTCTTTGCCCTTGGCAGGCGCCCCACACTCCAGCTCAGCTTTCTTGGGGGTGCTCGAGAGCCTGGCCAGCCGCAGCCGCAGCAGATTGCCCAACGTGAGCTCCTTGGACAGTGGTTTCCGGTCAATTAGATGGTCAAACTTGCCGCTGATCCGAAAGCTGGACAGGAGTTTGGAGCTTATGGGCTCTGACTGTGCGTATAGGATTCGGAACTCCAGGTCAAAGTGTTCAACCACTTGGCCGGACAGAATGACCAAGTTACTGCTATTTAATTTGCCATCTGTCCATGTAAAACTTAAGGATTAAAAACAAACAAACAGAAGCTGGTAAGAACAAGCAACTTTAGTTTACTTATCGTCAATCTAAGTAATAAAGCCCAGACATCCTGCTAAATAAGAGTCATAACTCTGATGACAGCATACCCGCCATAATAGTGTGAATTCAACCAGCTTCAACATAGGTATATAATATACATATAGGTTAACATAAAAGTAAAAAGGCCAACTCTTTAACCAATACACTAAAATCTACCCATCCTCATCCTCGGAGTTTTTAAAAACCAGAATGGGCCCTCATTTTCTAAGTGAGGAAACTGGCTAGTGATTTCACAACGGGAAGCTAGTAGTAGACCCTAGACTAGGCTCAGTTCTTAAGAATTGCTAGTGCAGTGCTCCTTGCTCTCTCCTCCAGCATTGCCATTTTCACAAGGGAGACAGTACTGTTACTCTAACGATGAGGCTGATGCTGGAAGCACATAAAGAGCTGATAGTGGCCATGTGTCCTTGCCTGTCTAGCATCCCTTCTCCTTCCTCTGGTGACAGAACCCACACCCACCCTAGCCCAGAAAGCTCGAATCACAAGCAGGGAGAGCATATGACCAGGCTGGCCAGACGACCCTATCCCCTTGGATATGGGGATCTACCCAGAGTGGGCATGTGACCCAGCAAGGGCCAAGTAATTTTTCAAGAATTGATACCATTGCTAAAAAAAAAAAAGACTCTCTTTGGGAGACAGCTATTAAAGGTTGTACAAGAAAGCCTGGGCCTCTGCCTTCAAATGGAGAGTGTGACTGAGAAGAAAGACCAAGCAGAAAAAAGCAGGACTGGAAGACCATGTTCTGATACATTTATGGCCTCTGGATCAGTAAGACCGGAAAACCCTTCTACACTTCAAAGTCACGTGAGTCAGTAAATTCCATTTTGCACAAAGTCATCTGACTTAGCTTTGTGCACTTGCAATCACCCCACTGACAGAGAAAGAAGATTCTTTGGGAAACCCTCAATGAGATCATGTAAACAAGAGTGGGATTATAAAATGTCCTCAACAAATGGAAGCTACCTTCATCATTGCCACCAACCTCACCCTTAATGGTAGCATATTTCATTTGCAGAGAGTAGTTTTTACATTTTTATATTTTAGAGTAGCCAAAAACCATTTGGAGCTAAGTTTCGCTTATATAAATAAATCATACTTTGGGTGAAAATCTAGCTTCCTCCTATTATTTAAAAACTTACGAAAGGAAGTCTCAAGAAAAATTTGAATTTCGTTCTGAGCAAGGACTGTACTGTTTGAGAAGAAAAGCATCAAGAGTTTCTTGCTCTTACCACCTCACCGTCCACAAATCTTTGCACATCCACCTTTACCCAGGCTGACACGGAATTACCACTCAGGAATGTGCGTTTCCTCAAAAATGAGTTTTTCTTTTTTAAACCATGCAGACACACCTCATGCACCCCATCAGACAACCTAATGCAGAGGTGGCAAAACACACTACCTTCGAAGCCACAGCAGGAAAAATGACACGTCTTAACTTCTAGAGGTTGGTGTTAACCGCTCGTTATCTCCTCCCTTTACTCAGCTTCCCCGCACTCCACCAACACAGCACTGCCAAAGTGAAACTTCAAAGGACATGGATCAGCACTTTCTAGACTGAAGCACTAGATTACAAGGCTTAAAGCAAGGTGAAGGATTTAAGTATAAGCTGAACATTTGAGCTCTGACCTCCACACTGGTGTCCATGCCAACGACTGCCCTTACCTTCAAGTGAGCAGGGACAAGGAGGGGTCAAAATCTCCAAGGAACAAGACTCAAGAATGTTTCTGTCACCGTTAACCCCCAATTCATCCACTGCAGGCCTGGCTGAGGCTCGAATCTAGGACTCACTCACTGTGAGCTCTCCAGGCAAATTTCAGCCTCTGTACTTTAGTTTTGTGGACCACAGAGCAGGGGAGGTGATCACCACCGCAACCACCCCCTGTAGGAGGAGGCTTTGATTAACCTACTCACTCACATAAGTATCAGAATGCCTGGCCATAGAGCCTTGCATTGAGAGGAAAAGGAAGCTTTTACTTTTATATAGCATGCTCCTTCTGAAAAGTTTAAATTAATAAGCCTGGATGGGTGAGAAACTTACCTGTAGGAGCCTGTAGCCACACGAATGCCGTCAATCAATGTGAACTTCTCATGAACCTTCCCAACAATTTTAGTTCCTGACCTCGCATAGTATATATTTCCCGTAATAGTCCGAACTGTCATCAGCTGTTGGTGGAAGAGTGGAAAAAAATTAATGAACAATCCAGTGAGCAAATGATTAAGACAAGATTACAATTCTCAAATAGACAACTCAGTAACAACACTCCTGGTACACTAGCCAGATGATTCTTCGGACTCAAGTAATGCTACTTCGCATTTAGTCCATCTTCTCATATGCTTTTTTCTTATATTTATTTTTGATACCCTTAGTTCATGTGTACATGTGCTCTAAAAGGAGCCTCATTTTGGGGGAATACTATACAACAAAATCTAAGAAATGATTTTGAAACAAAATGTGGGGGATTAAATCATCAAAGGAAACACACTAGTAATAATATCTTAACAAAGGCTTAAAGAAGGTAAAGAGAGTCTCCAGCCATGCCACTCTGAACGTGCCCAATCTCGTCTGATTTCAGAAGCTAAGCAGGGTCGGGCCTGGTTAGTACTTGGATGGGAGAACACCTAGGAAGACAAGGTGCTGTAGGTGTAAAATATAAAAAAATAAGGGATTGTAAAATGACAAGGTCCTTGCAATCTGTTAGGTCACCAAGGGTTGCCTCACCTAAAATAAATACATAAAAAACAAATAAATAAACGAACAAACAAACAAATAATAAGAAGCTAAGTTGATATTCCTCCTACCCTTTTGTTTAATAGGATCACTAATAAGTAACAGCCCATCCTCACTTACTCCCACACCGTAATAGGTTCAGAGTACAAGAACATAGGACAAGCGTTCTCTAACATGGGACTTGAAGCAGAAAACACCCATTTCACATGTGGCTTAATCAACAATGTCACATTTCCTACAAATGTGCATTCACCCAAAAGGTACACTGGTAACACTCTGGTGCTATATACTGCATGTGCATGCATAATTATCTCTGTAAGATGACACACGTAAATGTATATACAATGGCATGACAATCTGCATTCTTCGGAGCAGATCAATAGATAAATATGTTTAGAAATCTTACATATTCAAATAAAATATTTAAGCTTTTTGTGACTCTCATTAATTCCACCATAAAAGCCCCTACTATTTGCCAAGCCTTGAGACAATAGAGGTATAAGGCATGCTATATAAGGCACGCTCTTGACCTTCAAGGACTAGACTAGAAGAGAGAAAAATAATGAATAATTAAAAATTGTAGCAAGACTAACATCATCCAGAGAAGCGAAATCTATATCCGCACAAATACTCATAGCATCTTACTCATAATAGTAAAAAATTGAAAACTGCCCTAATATCCTTCAGTAGTTGAATGGTTAAACATACCATGGTACACTCATACCGTATGACACTACTCAGCAACAAAAAGGAACAAACTTGGAAGAATCTCAAGGGCATTACGCCGACAGGAAAAAGCCAACCCAGGAAAAAGCTAATTTCAAAAGATCGCATACTATGTGGTTCCATTACTACAACATTCTCTAAATGATAAGATTATAAAGATGGGAAACAAATTAGTTGTTTCCAGGGTTAAAGATGGTGGGGGCAGGGCACAGAGAAGGGAGTGGACGAGACTATAAAGGAGTAGCATGAGAGAGATCTTAGTGGTCATGGAATAGTTCTGTATCTTGGTGGTGGTGGTTACACATATGTACACGCGATAAAATGGCACAGAACTATAGACACACAGTGTACCAATGTCAATTTCCAGCTTTTGCAATTATAAGTTACATAAGATGTAACCATTGGGAGAAACTGGGTGAAGGATACCTGGAAACTTCTTTGTACTATCTTTGCAACTTCTGTGACTCTATTATTATTTCAAAATAAAAACAAAAGGCAAAACAAAAAAACTATGACAAGACATACTTACTATCACTTCTGTGGTATTCTTACCGAAATGCATAATTTGAATTTAACCATGAGGAAACATGTGACAAACCTAAATTCTACAGAAAACTAGCTAGTATTCTTCAAAAGTATCAATACCCTAAAAGACAAAGAGGGAAGAATGGTTCCAGATAAGAGGAAGCTAAGGGGACATGACAACTAAACGCCAGCTATGGTCCTGAATTGGATCCTGGACAAGAAACAGGGTTTTCATGGAATGATTAGTGAAATTTATAAGATCTTTACATTAGATAATAGTATTACATCAAGTTTATTTCTCGATTATCAAATATGTAGAGATAAGACGTTAATTAACATTTAGAGAATTTGGACAGAGTATTCATGAATTCCTTATATTGTTTCTGTAACTCCTTTATAAATCTTACACTTTCAAAATGGAAATTTAAATTAAAAAGGAAAAAAGCTAAGAACTTCCGTGGTGGTATGCATGGAGCTGGCGGGGGAGGGCTTCCTGGAGGAGGTGATGATTCCTAAGCAGAGCTTCAAAGGATCAACATATAATAACGAACATAAAAAATACCACATATGGGCAGATTCAGGCATCATTCCATACATCTTTGCCTTTGGACTTATCTGAATGTTGTGCAGGCCTCTGTGATTGTGGCCGAAGTGCTTCTGAGACCTGCACACAAGGTTCCCAGACAGGACACCCGAGCCGCAGAGCCGGGGTCTGGGAGGAAGTCAGCCCCCACGGGGTAAGGCACACGATCACTAGCAACAGACATGCCTGAGTGAGGGAAGCAACCAGGGAAGATGGTGCGGCCCAAGGAAGGAGTTAAAACACAACAAAAATTAGTGAGGCCAGAGGTACAGACCTCCTTTCAACCTCTCCTACAGAGAATCTGGACACCATAAAGGCAGCAACCAACAGTGGGCAACTGAGTCAGCAAATAGTATTCCTAGATTTCTGTCAAGTAGATGAATCAGAGCCAATCACCCGATCAAAGTTGTGACCAAAACTCTGTGATTTTCCCGCTGCTAACACTCTGCCTCAATTACAGAAAGAGCGCCTTGAAATTAAACACTAACACCTTCGATTCCTCACTGGGCTCTATGTGAGCAATCACAGACTGAACATTTGGCTAAGGGACAATGCGCTCTTCCATGCCTGACTTGCATTTTCCTTGGGTCCACCTGATCTCATTTTTTTGACTGTTGGGTCACATGGCTGGCTTGTTTCACTGGGTCTCCAAGCTCTAATCCTACCTCCATCAAGAGTTGCTCTATAACACTAGTGACAAGTTAGAAAACTACCTAATTAAACCCAATCTTTGGTTTCCTCATTTGGGAAAACAACCAACAAGAACTCTGTAGGAGGAGCTAAATGGCCAAAATTTTGCAAGCAAACTAAATTGCTTAATAACAAGGTGGTAACTTTTTGTCCCCTATGCAGTAACCTATAGGACCAAAGCCCAAATTCCAGAACAGTACCCAAAACAATGCATGGCTCATAGTAGGTGCTCACAGATAGTGAACTAAGTTGATGAATGCTCAATTTACAAAAATGGTGTTAATAAGTGGGACTATTTTTCTGGCCTCTTTCCACTAAAGAGATCAAGCTAGCTGAGTTGTATAACCTTACATTTAAATACTTAAGTTCAATTACTTTCATGCTCAAAGCAAAGAAAATATGAAGTCTAATTTTATAATAATGAGAAATGAGAAGCAGCATGTGATAGTGATGGCAGATGGGAAATCAAACCCCAGTCCCACTACTTTCTAATTGTAGACATTGGGCTCTCTGTGTCACCACTTCGTGATCTAAAACATAGGTAGAATGCCACTTACCCAAAAGGGCTGCTGTGAGGATTAAGTTTCATAACATTTGTTAAGAGCTTCATAAATGGTGGTCTTTATGATTAAAATTGGAGTTTACTAGCACTACAGTCAAAAGTGGCAGCTTCCAGGGCAGCCTCTGGCCACCAACAGGAGGCAGCATGACATGAGGGAGAAGCCAAAGTTTGAATTTCGACTCTGTCATTTCTCTTCTGTGAGACTTCAGGCAAGTCGCTTTGCTCAGGGCCTCGGCTCCCCCTCTTGTAAAGGGGATACCACTTCCACCTGCCATGTAGACAGGTCCTATTTCTGACTGTGGTGAAACCAGAATACAAACCTTTTCCTGCTCAGGATGAACTTTCAGATCCATGCACATATCCAAAAACTGGGAAAGCAGAGAATGGTCCAGAAGAACGTATACAGCAACTCCCTGTTTCCGACACATTTCCTGCAGGTCTCGGAAGATGTCGATGTCTGTGAAGACGTCCATCACCACCGCGATCACCTGCAGGGTCAGGGAGAGGAAGAGCAAGCTGTCAGCCCGCAACACCACCACCTTACAGCTCCTCGTCTGGACTCTGGACCCCATCTCAGAGGTGGGCCCCACCTACAGTATCACTTCCTTCTCCTTCTGCATATCGGTTTTACCCTCAACGTGGACTCTTTTTTATGTCTGAAGACAGGCCACTGTACTGTATCCTACAAATCTGCACTTGGCTCAGCTAACCCTCCCCCCAAATGCCTCTCAGACGCTCCCCTCCACATTGGCAAATTCCTAAAAAACATATTTGTTTTTTAATCAACTGCCTTGCCCTCCTATGAACCTGTTCCATTCAATCTCTCTTTCTTTACTAAAAGCCCCATCTTACAGGATCAGCTCAGACTAGCAAGCTGACTAGGCTCTGTGGCTAACACACTGTCATCTTAGGCATGTTGCTTCCCCACTGACTCCAGTTTTCTATGTCTGTAAAACAAGTAAATAAAACTTTAGATTCCCTCTGAGGTCCCTTCTGGGTGTAACATTCTCCAAATCTATGAATTTTATTATTATCTGATTTTGGATCATAATCTCCGATTTCTTAGCACCGTCGACACAGGCCCACTCCATCCACCACCAACTCAGGGCTTGAAACCAATCAAACCAGACAAGCGGATTCTTCCACTTCTGCTTTGCTAACGCTGATACCACATATTTGTAATGTTCTGCATCTTCCACAAGTCAGGATCCCAGTAAATGGCTTCCAGAGCACCAGCCCCGCTATGTAAGGTGGTCTCTACCGTTTTTTGGTATCTGTCCACAGTGCAAGCCCACAGGAACAAGAACATCGAAATATGTCCTAAGGATTCTGCCCTGAAGTTTGACCAGTCCTATCCTCTCCCCCAAAACATGGCTCCATTTGTGCCTAATACATTTTCCACACTTGACATTAGACTACAGTTCATGAGCTGCCTCAGCCACGTGTCTTTGGGAAGATAATGGCTATTTCGAATGTCTTGTTTCCTTACCTGCAAAATAGGTTTGTAGTGAGATCTAAATGACATGTTACATGAAGTTCAAAAGGTATCTTAAGTATCTGTTCATTGATTTGCTTTACCAGACCAGAGTTTGAACTGTCCGGACAGTTCTACATAGGGAGGCATCTGCCAGCCCCCAGCTTTCCTTGCTAAAGAGAGGCTGTTCCTCCGCAAAGCCTCTAATCACACCCTCTGCAGGTTTAAACAGTGGCCCTCAGCTAATTCCTGGCATGGCTGTGGGAGTGTCAAAACATCCAGCCTTAGAAACAAGTCTCTGCAAACTGAGTCAGAGCTGGGGGTGTTAGCCACAGAGACTGATCCCTAAAGCCAAGGTTTGGAGCCCTTTCATAGTCTGACGCTGTAAGGGCTTCTCCTTCCTCTCAATAGTAAAAACACATTTCTTAGAATCACATTAACTTTTTTTGAATGGTAAGGTAATTTATTTACAGATCTCACATCTACGGGAGTAGAGGCATTTGAATGGAACTGATTCAACCTCTATGGCCCCAGAGGGCCCAGGACAGTACCTAAAAGTCACACTTACCCCATAAGTATTTGAAGGTTAAAGAAGAAATGCAGAGACAGAGGAAATTTTGCTGTCTTTCTCCAATACCCCCAGTCTGGTCTATCAGGACGAGGGGCCTTGAAATGCCAGCTCCTGGGGAGTCACTGCTATGAAGGAGTCTGGGAAAACCAATTTAACTCTTTGGCTGCCTGTCCTCTTTTCTCCCTTCCCAATATTGATGAAGCTTCAGCTATGAGCTATTCTTGGTAAAGGGAACAGAGAAACCCACTAGGCACAATGATTTAAAAAATAAAAAGTGTTCTTTCTAAATTGGTGGCATCTTCAGAAGTTTATATCCTTCAATGGGTTTTACACATCCTACTTTGAGTTCTATCTATCCCATTCATTCAGGTCATATATTACAGTGGCTAAAAGGCAGAAAAGCCTGGGTAAACAGGTCCCAAGCTCTGTGGCTTACCAGCTATGTGACCCTGAGCAAACTGCTTCACGTCTATGAGCCTGTTTCCTCCTCTGGAAGATATGGATAATAATAGCATCTACGTCAAAGGGCTGTTGTGAGGATTAAATGAGACAAAGCATGGAAAGGACTTAGGCATGATAATGATGTTCAATTATGCAGCTAGCACCTCTTCAGAGTCTACTGTGGGCTGAACCCTAGTACTAGGTAGAAAGGTAGTTATAAAGAATTTGACCTAGACTCAACTTATCTGCAAAGAGAGGAAGTGGGATGCAGAGAAGCAAAATGATACATACTGTAAGAGGCAATTAAACAAGAGGATCGTGTGGGGGGTAGGGAAGCAGTGAGGCATCTTCCCTGCAGTGGTGGACACACTATAGGCGCTCACTGTTTACCAAAGGTCAGAGAAGGGCTCCTGAAGGAGATGGCATTTGAGCTGAATCACAAATAAGGACAAAATTTGAACAGGAGTGAAGTGAAGGGGAGGGCATTCTGGGAGGAAGCCATGAGATGACAGGAAGAGGTAGGAAATGATGAGGTATGCACCAATTCGGCTGGAACGTGGAGTATGCACGAAAGGGAGCAACAGGACATGACTGAGACAGGTGAATGAGCAAGATCATAGAAGGCCTTGAATGCCAACCAAGGAATCAGTATCACACAGGCAATGGAGGGAAGGTGATTTTAAGAACAGTATGATGAATTCAAAGCGATGACTGTAACAGGACAGAAGGAGCTGATACTGGGAAGAGCTATGGGTAGGTTGGAAATCTGGCCCCACACCTCCTCTAACACAGGGCCGTGTAACCAAAGTGCCTGCAAAACAGTAGGTGCTTAGATACTTTTTAGGCTCAGCAAACATTTAGGAGGACTAAAGACACAAAGGAAAAAATCAGTGAGAGAGGTTTTGAGGATGGAAGCAATGAGGTCACAGAGTTGGGAAAGGGGCTTTGGGAAAGCCAAGCAATAGGCTGCATAGGCTGGAAGAGGAAAAGAAAGAAGGGTGGGAAGAGGCAGAGGGAGATTCAGGTTTACTCAAACAAGAAACTCAGAAAAAGAAACAAACTTGAGAGAGAGGCTTCAAAACTGATTTTGGGGTTGCAGTAAAACCTTCATAAAGGGTTTCTGCATGCAAAGGTATAGGAATGAGAGCGAAGCTCACAAAAGAAAGCTAGAGGAACACACAGATATCTGCCTGCCTCTCTCACTTCTCACTATTGTTTCAAATATTCAGCGAGCCCACCAAGAATGAGGCATGGTGTTGGGCATTAAGGACCTAGGGTCAATCCTTATCCTCAAGAAACCCAGTCTAATGAGGGAAACAAGAGACAAGCCAGGGGAAACAGTGTGATGGGGCTGATGAGTGTACACCCATGGTGCCATGGGGACAGAGACCAAGGAACCCAGACCAGCTGGCCAAGTTAGCGAGGGTTGAAGAAATGCTAGAGGCAGGGACCTAGGAGCAGGGCCCACAGTATAAATCACCTTCCAAACTGAATTTAGATTAACCACTCAATAAAACAACTCTATAAACAACGGCTTTGCTCGGTAGTGAGTAAGCATCTAATTTGCTACTGGTTTCATTGTTTGGTTTAAAAGCCTCCACCTTTCCTGTGTACTGAAAATAATTGGATTTGAACACTGGGGTGTTTAGAGGGTGGATGGAGGCATTTCTTCCCCTGTATCACATCCCCTCCTTTCTCACTGGAGCAGGACTCTTAATACTTCTGCAGGAAGAAGAGCCTTACTCATGGAAGCAATCAGTCCTTCTCTAATCCTTCCTTCCTTCAAGACCCCAACCGTGCTTCCTGTCCATACTCTCCCTCCTTAGCCCTACGGGCCCCACACAACCAAGCCCTGCAGAGCTGAACCAGACCTGGGGCTTCCCAAATCTCTGAGGGGAGTCCCTTCAGTGAGCTGAGCAATGACTTATTTACTGCTTTCCAAGGCCAGATACATCTCTTAGGTCATGCTGCAGACTGCTGGGCCCTAGACACACACCTGGACTTGAAAGATGGCTTAGAAACCAGTCACTGCTCCCTCCCTGAGGAATAATACAGGGACAAAGGAGAGACACATCAGGAAGACGTGCATCCCCTTCAAGTGCCCACATGGTCACTGGGAGCACTGCCCTGTCCCAGCCCGTGCTGCACAGAGCCTGCCCACTTTCTTAGGGCTAGAAAGCTCTGTACGTGGTAACTTTTGAGAGTCTACTTCAGGGTCAACACCCATCTGCAACTCTGTCCTGCCTGTTACCCTACTCTCTTCCTGCATTTCTCTAGCCACATCTGGAGCGGCCATACCTGTGTCCAGTCCCACATCATCACGACAATTGACAAAACCCCAAGCCTTTCCCCCACTTACCAACTATCCCTTGCTGATATATACTCTGTGATCTTCATGGTTACACAGAAGCAATCACTGTGCTGTCCCTGATCTCTGGGAAGGGCACAAATCCTTCCTGTTTCTGCTACTTTTCACATAGAACTGGAATCATTTCTATATATTTTCTGCATAAATGCTCTAAAGAGATATCTAAAGATTTCAGAACCCATTAACTGTCATCCTCAATTTACAGATGAGAAAACTAAATCTTGGAGAAGTCAGGTAACTCATTCAAAGTGACACACTTCAGCAAATGTAGGAGCTGGAATTTCAGCTCAGGCCTGTGTTGACGCCAGAGCTACAGTGAGAAAGTGTTAACTATATATTACTCCACACAAGTCTAATAATGTTCAGTCTTCAAAAGATTGGGCTTGAACTAAATCCTGAAAGAATCAGTAGAGTATTCCAGAAAGTACATGGGATCAAGCCCATCACAGAGGATGACTACTAACATGCAATAATTCACAGAGCGAACACCAAGGAACCTGCAACTCCCTAGGACACTGGGCAACTCTCATCTGCAGGTGATACTGCTGACTAATTCAAAGTGGACTAAATCAGGATACCTTGGGGAGCAAAGATGTTATGTGAACAGGCTGTACAATTAGACCTGGACACGGAT